AAAGTAAAGGCCTGTGCCCACACCACCACCTCTCACCATGCTGGCCTCTGTCACTTCATGCCAGCCACAAGTGGCACTTCCAGGTGCTGGACATGCCCACCATGCCTGTGCCTCAGTACCTTTGCACCAGCTGTTCCTCTACCTGGTTCACTCCACAAATACACATCCCCAGGGCTTGGCCCAGCCTCCCACAGGTCCAGCTCACCCACTTTCTTAACGACCACGTGCTCGGCTACCTATCTCAAGTTAAGACCTCAATCTCCAGCATGGTGGTCTCTTATTTCCTCCCACTATATGAAAGCTCCAGACACGCTTTTTACCCTCTGCACGCATCACTGTCTCCTTGAAGCCTGAGCACTGCCTGCCCATTGGAAGTGTGCATGAAGAATTTGCTCAGTGCAGGAGGGAACCTGAGGTTTACTCTCATAAACAGGAAAGGGGAGAACAATGCCTCAAGGGCCACGAAGTCCAAGGTGCAGTTTCCACCTCCTGCTGCCCTCAGTGCCTCTGGAGGGGTAGAGATGAAGGTCAGACCCAGAACTCCGTTGTATCGGCCTTTGAAGGTCTCAGGAGAAAGCAGCAAGGTGGTAATGTGGTGCTCTGTCTTCCTAACAGGAAGAAGGCGGAGGAAGCAGAGCTTTACCCTCCAAGGGCTTCCTTGACCTCAGCTCTGAAAAGGTCCCATAGGGAGGTTTGTGTTTGTGCGTGTGGAGCAGCATCCACCTCTGTGTGGAGCATGGGTGGGATGTATGTACGGTATAAAAATAAGAAGAGAGAGTTCCTGGTAAGTACAGCACCTAATTAGTACGAGTCTCACAATGAAGATGCTTGGATCTTATTGGCTCACTCAGGCTGGTGGTGCAAGACACCTGTGCTCCAAACACAGTTCATGTTTCCACAAGGTAACAGCGCCAATGGGACCTGGGACTGCCCTAAAGGACAGTGTTATGGCTGTGTCTCAATGCCTCCCAAAGCCTCACGCAGGCGTAGGCAGGGCTTTTTCAGAGGCAGACTGTGTGATACTGGAACGGATTCATGGTGCACTGCTAGGATCAAGGGCACTAGGATGAAGGGTGCAAATAGCCTGGATAAGAAATGAGGTCACCCCTTGCTGTGGTCACCCCTTGTTTGCTTCGCTACCTTCTGCCCACCATGAACTGATTCTCCTCTGCAATGCCCTCTGCCGTGCCACTCTGCCTTGGAGCCAGCTGACTATGGACTAAAACCTCTACTGACTGTGATCTAAATAAACCTTTCCTCCCTTAATTCTGGATGTTGTACATTTTGTCTCAGCAACAAGAAAAGTAACTACAACAGACAGATACGAAAATCTCCTGGAGAAATTCTCCAAATGTCACTGTTAATGAAAATCACAAAACTGTTAGCAAGGCAAAAACAATATTACTGCAAGCCCAAGATCCTGAGTTCGATCCCCGGTTCCAAAAAATAATAATAATAATACTTCATGGTTTAGAATACAAAAAAAAATTTAAAAAAACAAAGCTGAATATTTTTCCAATGCAGTAACATAATGGGCACCGGATTTCACTTTAATTCAAAATGGCAACTTACTCAGCATGATTACCGTCTCCACTGCTATGAAGAATTCTTTGCCAAGAGCACAGATCACATTGAAAAAGACAAGCTGGTAATGAAACAGCAAATCTGTGAGAGATGAGACACGTGGACACAGGTAACGACCATGGTGATCTGGCACTGACAATGGTAGGTGGTCAGACGAAGCACCAACGGACAGCTATCGAGTCAGAGAGATGGAGACGCAGGAGCACAGCAGAGTTCTTTTCCACACAGCTCTGTCTACATTGGGGTGTTTAGAACCGTACAACCGTCTTATCAGGTGCCTGGACTCCACAGAGTGACATCTTGCTCTGCCCACAGCCCTATGCGAACTATTTCATCACATTTTAAAGTAGAAAAAAGGCTCCTATAACTGGAACTGCTGGATCAAAGGGCATATCCATCTTTAATTCTGTATGGCTTGACCACTGATTTCCAAAACCTCCAGCAGGTTCTCCACCACCTACCCCTGAGGTATGAGTGTTACTTCCTCTTATCTTGCCTCATGCAGGGTATAATCAAACTCTTTGATCCTTTCCAGTTGAGCCTCTATTTCTCATTACTGATTTAACTGCATTTACTTAATCTGGGTGACCCTGTGTTAGAAGTGAGTGGTATGTGCGTATTCTCTGAGATCATTAAAAATTCTCCCATATTTACATTTTCAATTCTTGTTTCAGTTTTGTCCAGCAACCTAATTTAATCTCTGAACTCAAAAGTCACCAGATTGCTCCCATTAAAAAAATAAAAAGAACCTAAGGATGACAAAGAAAGTAAAACCTCCCCTCCTCTACCTCCAAGGCCCCCTTGGAGATCTAACAGGCATTTGAGCCAGTGTGGGGCACCTGAAGCAGGATGCGTGTGGCAGCCGTGAGGTGCATACAGGGTATGTGCGTGTACTAGTGTGTTGGCATGGTATGTGTGTTAGTGTGTGTGTTTATTGTGGAAAGTCCTAATGGGAAGTCCTTGCATTCTCTCATTTCCTCAGAGAAGTAACTATTTTCCAGACAGTCATTAGCTTTAGAAAAATACTGTCTGAAATTTCTTCAGTGAAAACACCATCCCTTCCATTCTCCCCCACCCTGTCCATCCTGAGACTGCCCCATGGAAGCAGTTCCCTCCGCTCCACGCTTCTCTCCCGCCGTCTTTTCATTAAACTCATTAAGGTCTGGGTTTCACCACTGCAGCCTGCGTGGGCGATGATCAAGCGTGGCACCTCGCCCAACTTTTATATAGTGGCATCACCATAAACAGACACAAACTGAAAGACCTGCAGCGTAAAGGGTATCACTGAAGACCTGTGGTCTACATCCAACCACATGGCAAATCATGACCCGCTAGCTGCTTGCCTGTCTACAGTATGTTTGCTGCTCCCTCTCAGGAAAACGTCCAGAGAGAGTTGGGCTCTGCTGCTAACCTCAACCGCCAGGCACTGGTAAGGGGTAGGACGGTGATGCCCAGGACACACTGTCCCTGATGCCTGCCATCACAGTGCTCCAGCCTGCAAGCAAACTGGCTCCAAGTTTACTCTTCATGTAGCCACAGAAAGGACTTGGTTCCGTCCTTTGGCTGGCTGATAAAAAGGTAAACACCACATTCAAGTTTATGCATTTAGTTAATGGCAAAGAAGGCGAGAGCATGTCTCGTATCAACTTGACACTATCTGTGTATTTATTTTGGGCAATACTTAGTTGGCAGTGGCGCCTAACATTTTAGCTTTTTGACTGTCAGTGGACTGACAATCTCTAACTGTGTTGGCCAATATGACAGCCAATAGCTACAAGGGCTGCTGGGCACTTGAGGCAGGGCAAAGCCATGGGTAGTATGAGAGGGCACAGGAAAAAGCAGGAAGTGGCCCACTGCTGCTTGTACTGATTACATCTTTCAATGCCTATTGGCTTCTCTCCACCTTTGTGCTCTTCTGTGGTCATTTATTGGGTTTATACATTCTTTAAACTTAACTCACCTGTTTCCTTTTAGTTTTCTTATGTGGCTCACATTTTCCTTCCACTGGACAGTGCTGCTCTACAGGAGAGTATTCCTTTGCACTAAAGACAGAGCCACAAGGATGCTCTTTTCGGAATGTACAACAGCGACAGAACGGCAAGTAAGGGAGCATTTATCCCCAGCACTTTAAAAATTTCATACCTTGTCAGTGAGAAGAGGCTAGTGTGTCTCACGATTAAAACAAAAACGTTATTTGAAAGCAATTAAATAATTGTAACCTCATGCTTAAATATGCATGCATTCATCAAATTTAACTTCTGAGAGAACATCAGCAATTTAACAACACAAAAACCATCATTTTCTCTTTTAAGAACAGCTGTTTTCCTGGAGAAATCATCGTCAAAACCAATTAATATCACAGAAATCAGTTCAACCCTGAAAGAGACATCTGTCCACAGTCAACACTGCGATCAGAGAGAGGGATGATGGGTGGACACAGCCAGTTCCCTCCTGACAGTGGGAAACCCTGGCTAAGCTGGAACTCACAGGCCACTGTTTTCCCCTACAACCACCAGGCAATCCCTCCCCCCAGGCAACTAACTGCTCCTCTTTGCCACAAAGAAATTCTTAGGTGCAGAAATGCACGGCACTCATTTTTGTGAAATGATGATTCTGCCTCAAAATCAGTAGGCTAATTTTCAATATCTCAACCACAGCACCAAAATGAGAATGAATAATGTATTTTTATTATTGCGGTACAGTTTCTTCCTGACAAAACACCCCCATTATTTTTCCAACATTTTTGCTGTTGAGTAAGATGTGCGCCGTGCACCGCTGAACTAATGCATTTCTAGTGGAGAGAGGCGTCTGCATGGCGTGCAGGGCAGGATCAGACCACACAGAGGGAAAGAGAGCTGCCCTCGCCTTCTCTGGCTGGAATGGCTCTGCCGCACCTGTGCGTTTTCTGAGTCTCTTTTTAGGAACATCTCTATTAAAGCAGGAATAAGAACGGATTCTGCAGGCTTCTGCTTGAATCCTCCGCACAAAATTCCTGCGTGCAGGGCCAAGTGGGCGCCTTCTGCGCTGTGGAGAGCAGCGATCGCCCCACTGCTCCCACCCCTACCCTGCGTCCGCGGGGACGCGGCCCCAGAACCCAGCCAATGCCATCTACCAAACAAACGGGACGTAAAGATCTCCTGCGGTCCCACCTCCATTTCCCAGAGATGAGCCGAGGTCTTCCTGTGCCCGGCTCAAAGCACCCCTCCACCTCCAGAAGGAGCAGGGTGGCTAGAATTGTGCAGAATTTGCAATTTCAGTCAAAAACAAAAAAACCAGTATAACTTCCTTACAAATCTGTTTGATTCTAATTTTATCTTCCTCTTGTCTCTCCCTCCCACTCCACCTCTTCAAACCCAAACCCTGCAGGAAAAAAAGCGCATGGGGACTGATTCGGGTGTGAACGCTTTTATCCTTACCTAAAAAAATATCCCTAAGCAATAATAACGTTATCAAAGTGATGTTTAAAGCTGACCCAGAAAAGTTCCAATGTGCTAGGCTGGGTCCTCGCAGCAGCCGGGAAAGACATCCAGGGCCGCGGTGTGAAATTCCTCGGGGCCGCAGGCTGTGTCACGGCGCCGGACCGATCCCGCCGCGGTGCGCCACACTGCGCCCTCCACGCGGGGACGCACAGCCGGTCTAGCTTCGAGCTGGAGCCGCTGGGGCCCCGAGAAGCGAATCCAAGCTGAAAGGGTAAGGAGCGCGGAGAGCGGGCACGGCCCCTGCCCCGAACCCACGGCGAGGCGGAGACGCCTGGAGACCGAGGGCGAGCGGGGGGCGCCGCGCACTGCGGACTCTCTCCGCAGACCTATGTCCACGTCCACCGAGGCACCGACCCTCCGAGCCGCGCCGCTTGCTGCTCGCAGCTGCCGGGGGAAAGGGAGCCCAGTCCCGAGCCAGGCGCCGAGGTCTTCTCCCGCACCTTCGCGCGAGGCTGGCCCGCGCCCACCTGCCCACCCGCGAGAATGCGGACGCGGACACCCCGGCCCGCACGCAGGAGACCGATCGTTACCTGGAGAGACCGCGCGTCTCGCTCGGCTTGTCTGAGCTCAGCTGGGCTCGCGCGCGCAGGACCGCGTCTGCCGTGGGACGCGGCTCCCTGACTGGGGCGCGCTCCTCCTGCCGGCGTGACGCCGCACCGCCCCGCCCCGCCCCGCCCCACCGCTTGCGCCCGCCCCCAGCCCCGCCGGCGCCGCAGCCTGAGCCCTTGTCTCGCCGATAACCCCGCCCACAATTCTAGGTCCCGCCCACTCGCCTCAGCCTGAGCCCTGCCCCACCCATGACCCCACCCACAGCCCCCGAGCCCCGCCTATTCCCGCCCCTTGCCGCAGCCTGTGCCCGCCCCCAACCCCTCCGCCCATACTCAGGTCCCGCCCACATCCCCGCCCCACACCCGGAATCCCACCCGCTCCCCTCGGTCGCTGTCCCGCCTCCCTGGCCGCTGTCTTTTCTCCCCGTGCGCAGGCGGGGAGGCTCCGAACGGCACACGGACGGTTTCCCTGCGGCAGCGCCAGTCTCTTTGTCTGAAGCCCCGCGGCGACTGCAGAGGTCCCGGGAGGCTCGGGAAGCCGGCCAGGGATCTCCTCCGCCCGCCCGCGGGACTGGACGCGAGACGCCGGCCGCCAGAACCGCTGCTCGCCGAGGGGCGCCCCCAGGCGGTGCAGGGAAATCGCCGCGTTTATTTTCGGACATCAGTAAATAATTTTGTCAAAGAAAGCATTCATTGAAATAGATGAATCAGCAAAAAAACAGATGCAGGATTAGTAAGTGTCAACCTTTTTTAAATGTTCGAAACTACATTAAATTTAAGCTGCAAGGGTGTAGGAGATTTCCGCTGATTGTGTCACTCACCCTTTTGTAAGAGCAGTTGTGCTAAAATTGAGCCACATTAGTGTTTTCGCACTCCACATTGCTGTAAATATTATAGAACATTACTTAGCTTCACTTCTATGTAATTTCAACCAGCATCGTTTTCTTCAAATTCAGTTCCAGGAAATGTTTTTAGATAGCACACAACACGTGTTTTACCTCACAATTAAAACTTATTTTGTTCACTGATGCAGCCCAATCCTGGCCATTGCTCTCCAGCCCCTCTTTCTGCATCCCCTTCACTTAGGTCCTTCCAAGAGCCTGCCCCCCCTCTAGGCTCCAGAGCTCTGTTCTTCCTGAACAATCAGAGGAGCAGCAAGCCAGTGATTAGCAAGTCTCAGCTCCAAGCCTAGAACCAGCACAGTGGCCCAGGGCCTCGGTGGTCGAGCCCCAGGGTCCATGGGTTAATAGGATGGCCCATGGAGTCTCTGCGGGCTGCACCTGTTTCTCTCCAGAGCTCACACATTGAAACCTACCCATCACCGTGCAGCTCTGAGAAGGGCTGAGAAGGGAGGGGTTCAGAGAGGAGAGAGACAACAATCCAGGGAAGAGTCAAGGACCAGGCTGAGAGGATGCAGTGAGAGGCACCATAGATGGGCCTGGAAACCCTTCTCCAGCAGTCACTGCACTAGGGGCAACTTGGTCTTGAACAGGTACTGCTGTTCACACCTAAGGGTTCTTGGGTCCCCCAGGGTCCTGGCACTGTGTGCTCAGTGTCTGCTGGCTGCCCGGGCTAAGGAGCTCTTCTCTTTTATTTTTGTTATAAGTTTGCAGTACATCATCAATACCTTTATGGTGGAAGGCTGGTACATGTGTGTGACCAGCTCATTTCTTATGTCCCCTCCCCTCTACCTCCTTCACTCGGCCCCCTTTCTGCTTGCCTAAGATCTATCTTTTTCATAGCAGCCTGGACTAAGATGGAAGATCAACAAGGTTCCAATAGTAGGCCGTGGATCTGAAGCATCCACGTTACCTAGCAACTTGATAAAATAACAGGCAGAAAACTGGGCATGGTGGTATACACCTATAATCCCAGCACTCCCTCCAGAGGTTGAGGCAGGAGGATCAGCAAGAGTCACCATGATCACTATGAGCTACACAGTGAATTCGGGGCCAGCAGAACTGCATAGCAAGACCATTTCAAATTAAAAAAACAACAACAAAAAAAAAAAAAAAAAAAAAAAACAGACTCAGAAGCTGCACCTATCAGAACCCTCTATATGGTGAGAGTTTGTTAAAACCCAGCCTGCCAGACCATGCCCCTGTTCTCTGATCCAGTAGGTCTGGGGTGAAGTCCCTGGCAATCTGTGACCTACAGTTTCAGGTGGGACAAGCACTGTAACAAACTGTGATGGCCTGCCCCTCTGTGCTTGGGTGGAAGAAACACAGCTGAGGCAAATACACATTTTCTAAGGCAAAGAAAAAGCTGGCTCAGGCACTGTGTTGGTTACTTTTCTTTTGCTGCTGGGACAAAATACCCAACACCCAAAGTTAAGGAAGGAAAGGTTTATTTAGCTCACAAGTTTGTGGAGGTTTCAGTCCATACTCAGCTGGCTCCAAGGCAGGGTGGCACGGCACTGGGGTAGCCTTTCAAGGCAGCAGCCAGAGGGGAAATAATAAGCCTCTTTACCTTCCTTATATTGTACACAGACCTTACCCACCCTCTAGGGCAGGTATCACACTCACAAAATCTCCTAGCCCTCCTTTTGCACAGGATGAGGATGTTTACAAAGTAAGAACCTTAGCTTCCTGCTGAGTCTCTCAATTAAACTTCTCAGGTTGACACAGTACATCAACCATAACAGCTACAAACCCAGCCTTTCACTCTGAGGAAGCCCAACCCTTCTTCTGGACTTCTCCAGACCTGGGAAGATGGGACAAGACCCCTTCAACCAGGTGCTCACTGTGTCTCTGCAGTTCGGATTGCACAGGCTTGCTCTTGGCCTTTGCCCAAATTCCAAGTGGGCAAAAATCGCTCGCCACACCCAGACAGGGCATGGTGTGAGGGTCAGGGGCCCTTTGTCCAGCGGCCACTTAGGCAAGGGCAGACCCTGCTGCATGCAACAGGGCAGGGGCACGCCAGGGAGTCCCCATGCATTCCTCCCTGTGCGCCAGGGAGTCCCCATGCATTTCTTCCAAGAAATAAAGGCAATAAAGGAAAGTCAGTGGCCACTACAGTCACCTTCGTGCACTTTGCAACCTGCACAGTACGCAGCCTGCTTCCCTCCCTCCCTGTGAGGATCAGCACCTCAGTATCCGGCTTGCATCTGCAGAACACCTGTCATCACCAAGCAAGAGCCACAGCCAGATCCAGAGAGGCCTGAATTAGCAGATAAGCAGTGAGGAAACGATGCACCTTTGCCCAGTGTTCTTCAAGGGCCTCCTTTTCCTTTCATCCTGTCTTCTCTACAGCAGTGGTTGGGGCCAAAGCCTGGCTCCTGGGAGAAGTCATCAGAGACATTGTTGCAGCTCTGAGCTGGAACTGCTGACTAAGATGCCCTGAAGGTGGAGTCCAGCAAGCTGCATCTGGGCCAACAGCCAGGGCAAGTGTGAGGCAGAGTGTGGTCTGAAACTCACTGCACTACAATTCGTAGTTTTAAATTTTATTTTTGACAAATGCCATGAGGACGTTGCCCCTATAGGTCGTTGACAGGTATCTCATGAAAGAGGCTGCACCCAGGCCTAGCAGTACTTCTGGTAGTGAGGACTCACAGATTCCCAGGATAGCACTGTCCTGGGTCCCCCACCCCTGCTGCCATCCCTCATCAGGTTCCACCACAGGACTCTGCTCCCCACAGGACACCCCCTTCCCCCCACCTTGTCAGCTGTGCAGAGGTCCCTTGAGGCTGGCCCAGGCCTCCCTTGGTCTCCAGCTCCAGTGTCCAAGTTTGTGCCCCGTGAGGGCTCTGCCTAGTCCCAGAGCAGGCAGGCCTTGCCAGCTGAGAGCTCTGCCCCAAGCAACCAAAGCCCTGTAGACCTGGGCAAAAGGAAGCCCAAGCCCGAGTCCAGAAAGGCTGCCCCTTGAATGGGAAGGGAGAATGGAATTTCCTTTGAGGTCACCTATGAGTTTGTGACTTTGGGTTGGCCCTTCAGAGGCAGCCCACGAGGAGGCACCCTGCACTGCTTTCTGCACGGGGGCTTTCCTGCCTGTGCCCTCAGCAGTGCCCTCCTGCCAGGCCAGCTGAGAGACTCTGCTACAGGCAGTGGTCCTGGATCCTGAGCCATGGGTGTGCAGTGTACCCCAAGTCCTCACCAGCAGTGGGGATGATCTGCAGAGGCCCACAGCAATGTCCTGCAAATAGAAGCCTCAGGGGCAGGTTGGCTTGCAGAAAACCAGTGGTCTGTGCTACCCCAGTGATTTTAATCCTCCTTCTCCTGTACTTTCATCATTCCCTTGGCATCTGTCCAGTGCATGGAAATTTTTAGGGCCAAGGAGGTTGGAGCACTCTTCCTCTTCTCTTTCTTTGAAAGCAGGTATACCCCGTGGAGGAGGAGGTACCGTGCTAACTCTCTGTTCTTAATCTTTTCAGCAGACCAAGCTGCCCAGATGCCAAAGCTGACATCTGTTCCCTGTAATCTCAGAGTTTCTCATCACTGCCTTATATAAGGTTGACCTACTTCTCAGGGTCCACTCAAAACATGAGCAAACTGTGCCTGTAGCATGCATCCATGCGGCTGCCATCCACTGCCCCCACTCGCAGCCTGCATGGTGGTGTCCTCAGCAATGATTCCCTTATTCGTAGAAACCCCCTAAATCAAAGCTTCTCACAGGAAGTGTGCACCGAACTCGTGCTCTGATCAGAAGTGGCCAGCCCTCCAGGTCCTGGATTCCCTGAAGAACTCCAGCAGCAATCAGCTTCTTCCTCATGCATGATGGTTTCTCAGCCACATCTTTCCCTCCCCGATGCAGAACCTGCTTCCTTCTGGACCATGCCACACGCCTCCCTGTGTCCTGTCATCATCTGCCTTCCCTTTGGGTTTGGTGGCCTCCTCCTCCTCCCGGACCCAGTGCCACCCGAACATCACCCTATGTCTGTCCTCCTATTTCCACACCTCCCTACCCAGCTGACCTTGTGCTGTGCCACCCCTGCTACCCCCAGGCATCAGTG